GTAACACTGTCGGTGATGATGGAATGCAGTACCTTACTCGATACTCCCTTGACCCGGCCAACAATGCAATATTTGCAACACCACCAGCAAAACATAGCTAATAACAAAGCAGACAAACCAATTCTAGTGCATGTAAATATAGAGAACTATAGAAGACCTCGCCTTTACGCATGTCTAATTAAGGAGACTGTAAGAACACAGACCGCTTACTTCTCTACCAATTAGCATCAATGTACTTATAGATTAGCACATATATACTTTGATTCAATATATGCATGTCACACTTATTAAATATTATTATTTTTATTCTAAAATTTAAGATAAATAAATTTAAAGATATTGTTATACATATAGCATGCACAATAATTGATTGACTCAGTTGTACTTATGTAATATTTTAATGATTAAATTAAGTGGATGTTGAAAAGTGCGTCGAACCAAAAGATATATAAATCATTTTCCTTTAATCCTAGTCCGACTTGTAGTCCTATAGATTAGAGTTCAATAGTAGATCTGGTTATTGTCATAGACAAAAATGATATTTTACAAAAAAATTAATTTTTTCTTAAATAGTTAGTTATTATATTTGAAAATATCATTTTATAAATTAATTTTAATTTGTTAAACCAATACACATTTAGTTATGAGCTATTCATTACAATTATTAATTTTACTAATTGATCTTAATAGATAAAACAAACAAAATCAGTATTTTTAAGATTATGTTGTTATAACCGTGGTCTTCAACCATGACCCAACCATAAGGGTTGGGATCCATTCATGATAGCCCTGTAACTGCACCAAACCAGAAATCCTTCTTCAGTCCGTGTCTGTACTCCAGATTGACTTGCAAAGCCCCAAGGTGGAACTCGGGGTAGACACTCTGATGCTTAAGTCAGCAATAATCGGGGCTACCTTTAGAGTGGAGAAAAAAGGAGCTTAAGTTTGGTTTCAATTACCTTTTTGACGTGGCCCCTGGGGGGTATTTATAAGCTCCAGTGAGGAACCCACATGGATGCCAAGCAAGATAATCGGAGTTTGATTGAGCCTATCCAGATGGATAGGCTCCAATGAGAAACCCACGTGACATGCCAAACAAGACAATCGGAGTTTGATTGTGTCTATCCCGACGATTATTTCGGGATCAGGAAATTGAGAGATATTAAGATGTGAGAATGTCCATCGTAACTACTGTGCAGCTTTATCATAAGGGATCAGGTGCGGGCATGCTTATTGTCGATGTCATGCAGCTATTTGAGCGGGAAGTGTTGGATTTATCCTTCACTTCGGTTATAAATGAATTACTGCCGTACGTCCAAGGTTGGGCACCTCGAACCTGTCCTTACACTATTCTCCCCCCCGAAGTCATTCACTTGTGAATGATGCTGTTGGAGATACTGGAAGTAGTGCATAAATATAAAGGAAGGGGGACAAAAATATTAAAGAGGAGTTACAAAAGTAAATATGGAAATAAAAATCTATAACTCAAATGTATGTATGGTCGTAGCTAATAATGAAGTATTGTGATAGGGGGTCATGTTGGCCATGCCCAAAATAAAATGTGACCAGAGCAGTCGTGGCTGTAGCCGTGGTAAAAATAGTAATCGGAGTCAATGTGGCAAGAGCCGTGATAAAATATAATGACCGGAGTTATAATGGCCGGAGCCGTGATAAAAAATAATGACTGGAATCATAGTGGCAGGAGCCGTAGTAAAGTTCGTGACAAGGAGTCACAATGGCCAGAGCCGAAGTGAAACGTGTGACACTGGATCACTGTGGCCGGAGCCGAAGTGAAACACTTGTAAGTTAAAAATATAATTGTGAAAGTAAACAGCAGTGTTGAGATGGGCTTAAGTGGGCCCGTTTATAAAGTCTGACATAGGGTTATTGTGTGACATGACAGCTATCTGTCGAAAGACGTGTACAATTAATACGGGCTGAAAAAAGTAACCGTGACAGTCAGACAAACGGAATTAAGGAACGAACCGTCGGATTCAAATGGCTCCCGTTAGGGTTACACAGTTGCATTCAAAACGGCGTGAATAAGGACCGTAAAGTTAAACGAATCCCAGCCGTTGAGATCTAATCTTGCCCAGAGGTATAAATAGTCATTTTTCTGTAAAAAGAAGTTTACTTTCATTGTATTTTCTACAAAATTTTTGTAAAAGCTTTACTGTGTGCTTCCTGCGCGTGAGCTGCTGCATCATTTGTGGGTTTCTACATCAAGTTTTCAAAACTGAAATCAGGTAATGTATACGAATCTCTGATTTTGATTTAATCGAAGTGTCACTATCCTTTCTCCCTTTCTGTGGTTGATTTTGAGTCCTTTGAAGGAAGTTAGGGTTGGGAGTGAGAATGATTTTGAGTGTGCATTAGAGTTTTTTTTTTTTTTTTAAAGGGTCCTGACTTCATTCCTCCCCCTACTTCATGCAGAAATTGACGAAATGTCTTCTGAAGAAACAGTAAGTGTTGTAGGAAGTGAGGTAATGCCTCTGGAGTATGGTGGGATGGATTCAAAGAGTAGTCCATTCAGTTCGGAAAGGACGGTAGAGGGGATGAGAGGAGATGAGGGGGGTTGGGGGGAATAGTGTACCCATCACTGTGGTAGAAGTGGAGGGTAGGAGAGAGAGGTGTTATGATGTAGATGCAGACATAGTGGAGGAGGTGAAGCAGTATAGATCTGAACTCGGGACCAGGGATAGCCTTGGTTACTTAGTGGAGAATTATGAGATTTCATCTCGAGTTCTAATTAGGCTACCGGGGTAGAGGAGAGGGCGTGTTCTGCTCCTCGGGATCATTGGATGCCCATGTATGCCCACTATTTGGCAGCCGGGCTTAGGTTTCCAATATCTGAGTTGCTAGTGGGTTTGTTGTTAGATTATAGTATAGGGTTGACACAATTAGTTCCCAATGCTATGAGGGTAATAATAGTATTTTTAGTTTATTGCCGAGCTTAGGGGATTAATGTGCCGACTATAAATATGTTTAAGTATTTTTTTGTTTTAAAAGGGGATAGTAGGAAGGATAAGGGGTGGTATTATTTCACCCCTAGGGTAGCAAATAAGGAGAGTAGAGCATTATTTACTGTGAGTCCTTCATCCATTAAAGGATGGAAGGAAAAATTTTTCTTTGTAAATGATACGGAGTGGGAGAGGGGGGATGCCGAGGTAGAAATGTTGTCCTCCTGGAAGGCTAAGAGAGCCAACCATAATAAGTTTAGTTTAAATGATGATGAGGAGGGAGAGGTGGGGAAGTTGGTGAGGGAAGGGGGGATTTAGTGAACATTATGTACCTCACCAGCATAGAATGCACAGAAGCTGCTGAGCTATATGGGCCAAGCGCTTTAAGTGAAGGTGTGTTTAGATTTGCATTGTGGTGTTTAATGTAGAGTATAAAACTGTGTGATTGATATTGTGTTTTCTTGTTTAGCAGCTGATATGGACAAATTTTTTAGCACTACTGGAGGAGTGGCCATCCCCAAGAAGCCAAGGAAGAAGTCAAAGACTTCAACCAAGCAAGTGGATGAGGGAGGAGTTGGAAAGGAGGTAGTGCCCAACACTTCAGCCGGGGTGGAGGAGGAAGAGGAGAGGGGGAGCGAGGTTCCCCAGTTTGTACCTCGGCCTCCTCCTGTTGAGCTCGACCCTGAGCTCAGGGAGTTTGAGGAGGGGGCTGAGGTACAAGCTCCCGATAAGGAAAAGGGCCTTGTTCCCCCGTTGTCCTTTTAGAGTAGCCTGGTTGAGGCGAAGAACATGACGGGGGCTAGGAGGTTCATCAATTCCACCTTCCCTGAAGTGGACAAGCATCACGCACGGGACGAGGCTCTAAGGTACAGCTGCAGAAGGAGAAGGAGGAGCTGGAGAAGAAGAATAAGGAAATGCAAGAGGTGCTGGACGAGGTGGTTCCAGCAGTGAAACAGCTAGAGCAAGAGAGGGCTTCCCTGAGTACCAAGCTCGTCTTTGAAGAGAGCAAAAGAAAAATCTCTGAAAGCGAGCGTGAGGCTCAGGAGAAGGAAATAAAGCTTATGAAGGAAGCTTATATGGAGCTGAAGAAGAATGTGCAAATGTTGGTGCACAATGGGATGGAGGAGCACATCAGCAACTTCATCAGCTCCAGCTCATTTGACAACATCGTCAACCTCTACCGGCTACCAACTGCCATCCTCACCTTCACAGATTCTAGAAAGAAGGTGAAGGCTGAATATCCCAAAGTGGATGTTACAAAGATTACCTTCGGCGAGCAAGAAGAGGGAGTGGAGGAGAATTGTGAGAGCATGTCAGCAGACTTCCGTCTTGAGATCAAACTGAGGTGGGATCATGATGCAGACGGATGCACTGTTTTCCTTCCAAAGTTCGACTTCGAGTTCGTTGCAGTAGAGAAAGAAGAGGCAGAGGTAGAGGAAGATGAAGTGGGGGCAGGAGTAGAAGGAACTGAAGTGGATGATAGTCAACCAGCTCCAGAAGTGGAGATTCATCTAGTTCCTTCTGACGATGAGTAGCCTCCTCTGCCCGATGAGCAGGAGCCAACACAGCCACCTCTTCCAGCTGAGTAGGAGCCAGTTCAGCCACCTCCTCCAACAGAAAAATAATTTTTGTTTTTTAATTTTTCTTTGATATTTTGTTGTAATAACAGTAAAACAATTTGTTAATACTTTTATTACTTCAAATGAAAATTTTGTTTTGAAATTATGTGTTGTGTTTGCTTTATTATTTTGTTGTTTTATATTGATAGAAGAACTGAGATTAGTTTGGATATGTCTTGAAGGAAAGTAAATTATTTCAGAGATGAAATAAAAAGAAGTTAACCACTTCAGAAATGAACTAAATAAACGTAAGCCATTTCAGACGAATTAAGAAGAAGTAAATCACTTTAGATGAAAAAAGAAATAAAGCACTTCATGTGTGAAGTGACATCCATTAATAAGAGTGAAGTTCAAGGAATGAATGTTGAACTGATTGACCTCGGGTACACAGAATAAGAGGTAAAAATGAACCTCAACAATCACGAAGTAATAAGTATAAAGACATAGATCACTTGAAAGAAGTTTATTAGGGGTAAAATTTCTTCAAGTTATTGACATTCCAGACTCTAGGAATTCCTTCAGCGTCTTGGAGGACATAGGCACCAGGATGTGGCACCTCAGCCACCGTATAAGGGCCTTCCCAATTTGGGGCCAGTTTGCCAAAACAAGTTTCAAATCCTGTTAGGCCAGCCTTTTTGAGAACAAGGTCTCCTACTTTGAATGTTCAAAGGCAGACTCGTTTATTGTAGAAGTTGGCTAATTTCTGCTTGTATACAAGAGTTTGAAGCCGTGCTTTTTCTTTGACTTTAGCAAGCAGATCAAGGTTTTCCCAAAGCAGCTGTCCATTTCGTCCTTCATCGAAATGGGTGACCCGGAAGCTTGGGACTCCTATTTCAATAGGAATTATTGCTTCGGTACCAAAGGCCAAGTGGTAGGGTGTTTCACCTATTTCATGAAATTATATTCTTTAGAATATGTTTTACATATTATGTATATTTGATCTAGGGTAGAGTCTCAGGTGAGGAAGTAACGTAGAATAAAAATAAAACGAAAGGAACTTGGTTTGAAAATAGTACCTGTGGCAGTTTTGCTCGTTGTTCTATATGCCTAAAGGACGTTGTTGAGCTCATCTACCCACTTGGCCTTGTGTTGTTCCAACCTCGACTTTATTCCTTCTAAAATGCATTTATTAACAGATTCTACCATACCATTTGACTCCGGATGGTAAACTGAGGTGAACGGCAATTTGATCCCGTAGTTGGAATAAAAATCTCAGAATGAAAAGCAGTTGAATTGAGTTCCATTATCAGCCACAATCTGATTCGGGATCCCATATCTGCAGATGATCGAGCTGAAAACAAAGTCTTCGACCTTCTTAGAGGTAAGACTGGATAATGGCCGAGCTTCAACCCATTTTGTAAAATAATCCACACCAACAATCAGATGGGTTACACCACCAACCCCTTTCACAAATGGGTCTAAAAGATCCAATCCCCACTGAGTAAATGGCCATGGTGCTACCAAGTTCGTGAGCTCTTCTGCTGGTTAGTGAGTCAGATGTGCGAAGAATTGGCACTTCGAGCATCTCTATACGAACTGGGTGGCATCTTTATACATGTTGGGCCAGTAATATCCTTGTCTAAGGACTTTATGAGCCAAAGTTCGAGCACCAATATGGCTTCCGCAGACACCTTCATGCACCTCCCGAAGTGTGTATTCAGCCTCATAAGAGTTCAAGCAGCGGAGTAGAGGGAGTGAGAAAGATCTCTTGTAGAGGACTTCATTAACAAGGGTATACCGAGATGCTTTCTTTCTCAACCTCATCTCTTCTTGCTTATCTGCAAGCACTGTTCCATCCCGTAAAAATGAGATAATTGGATCTGTCCAGCTCGGTGTGCTAGGATATGTGCTGATTTCCATCATTTTTGGCTTTAAGAAGTTGGGCTCGTCCAGAATTTCAACAAAGACCGATCTAGAGCTTTGGTTGCCATCGGAAGCAAATTTGGAGAGGGAATCTACTTTCTCATTTTCAGCTTGGGGTATTTTGTTCAGGCGAAATTTCTGGAATTTGGATTTCAGCTCAGCCACCAGAGTTGCATACTTCATCATAATAAGATCAACCACTTCACAGACTGAGTTGACCTGATTGACTACCAATTGGGAATCACTGTATGTTTGTATTACTGTAACCTTCAGTTCTATGGCCAATTGTAAGTAGAGTAGCAGAGCTTCATACTCAGCCATATTATTGGTGGCATCAAAATTAAATTTCAGAGCATATTCACTTCGGTACCCATCTGGGCCAAGTAGGATTGCACCAGCGTCAGAACCTTTGTTACTTGATGCTCCATCAACATATAGAATCCAGCTGTCCAACGTGGGCTGGGAATCAGAGTGAGTCGAGGTGCATTCTACTATGAAATCTGCAAGAGCCTAAGCTCGGATTGCTGACCTCTACTGAAATGTTATCTCAAATTCTCCCAGTTCAATTGCCCATTTATCAACCTTCCTGAACATTATGGCTTCTGTAAAATTTGTCTGAGAGGTTGGTCCATGAGGACTATGATCGGATGTGATTGGAAATATGGTCTCAGTTTCTTAGCCGAGGTGACAACTGCTAAGCTGCTTTCTCAGCAATAGAATATCTGATTTTAGCTCCATGTAACACACTGCTGGTGTAATAAACTGGCTTCTGTTGCTTCCCCTCTTCCCTCACTAGCACAGAACTGATAGATTCATCTGATATGCCGAGGTACAAGTAGAGGATTTCTCCATCATTAGCCTTTGTCAGCAAAGGGGGTGAGCTAAGATAAGACTTCAGCTCGTCAAATGCAGCTTGGCATTCTGAATTCCATTCGAATTTCTTTTGTTTGCCAGATTCATCCTTCTGGGTTGCCAATCTCATGATCTTGGAGAACGGCAGGCATTTATCTGCTGATTTCGAGATGAATTTATGAAGAGTTGCCACTCTCCCTGTCAACCTCTGTACATCTTTCATTGACTTTGGTGGTTCCATTTCGGCCATTGCTTTGATCTTCTCGGGGTTAACCTCAATCCCCCTTCTGGACACCATGAAGCCTATAAATTTTTCAAACTCCACACCAAAGATGCATTTTCTTGGATTCAACTTCATTTTGTTCTTTCTGAGATTGTTGAATGTCTCCTCGAGGTCAGTTAGATGATCTTCAGCTTTCAAACTTTTCACCACGATATCATCAACATAAACTTCCAAATTCTAACCTATTTGAGCTCGGAATACGATGGTAACCATCTTCTGGTAATTGGCACCTGCGTTCTTTAAGCCAAAGGGCATCATTACGTAGCAGTAGATTTCGTCTCCGGCATAGAACACGGTTTTTTCTTCGTTCCCAAGAGCCATCGGGACTTGGTGGTAGCCAGAGTATGCATCCAAGAGACTTAACCTCTCGTTTCCAGAAGTTGTCTCAACCAGCTTATCCATGTTCGGCATTGGGTAACAGTCTTTTGGACATGCCTGGTTGAGGTTAGTGTAATCGATGTACATCCGCCATTTGCCATTTGCTTTTTTCACCAACACAAGATTGGCGACCCATCCACAGTAATCGACCCTTTTGACGAAGTCAGCTTGTAGGAGTTTTTCAACTTCTTCTTTGATGACCTTTAACCTCTCCCCCCCAAAGAGGCATCGCTTCTGGGCCACTGGTTTCTTGAGTGAATTGGTGCTAAGTTTGTGTTGAGATACTGAGGTGGGAATTCCCGGCATGTCTGCTGAGGTCCATGCGAAAACATCTTTGTTAGCTTGGAGAAAGGCTATCAACTCTGCTCTCTCCTTAGGGCTCAACTGAGTTCCTATCTGTGTTTTCCTGTTCGAGTCTTTCTCATCAATCTGTACCTTCTCAACATCTTCACCCGGAGCAGCTCGGGTTTCATCCTCAGGTCGATTATCGAGGATTTCAACCTCCATCACTTGCTGATTGTCATGGATTTTCAGTGGAGGGTTTTCTGCTGGTTGATCTCTGTTTTTTTGTGGCCTTGCACCTAAAGTGAGATAGCAATGTCTGGCTACTTCCTAGTTACCTCTAAGTGTTGCAATTCCCATGGGGGTTGGAAATTTCATGCAGAGATGAGACTGAGAGACCACAGCTCGGATCTCTGTTAATGTGGGCTGGCCAATGACAACGTTGAAAGAAGAAGGCATCTTGACCACTAGAAACCGAACTGAAGGAGTCACATAGTTTCAGCCACTCCCAAATACAACATTCATGGTTAGGACCCCTTCAACTGGAACTGGTTGGTTGTTGAAGCCATATATGGGACCATCGTAATGTTGTAGTAAAGCTGGATCGAGCCCTAGGCTCTCAAAACAGTGGTAGTACATGATGTCGAGTACACTGCCAGTGTCAACAAGTACGCGCTGGACTTGACAGTTGTTGATCATTACAGAGGTGATCAAAGGGTCGTTGTGAGGTATTACCACCCTTCAAAATCAGCGAGTGTAAAAGTGATCGGTTGATCTTTCCAATCAGTATCATCAAGTTTCCTCTTCTGAGCTCGGTTCTGGTGCTTTACCTCTCTGACATACAATTTTCTCTGTTTGGAGCTCAACCCTCCTGCTTCCAATCCTCCTGTAATCATGTGTATAATTATGGCTGGTGGTGGAAGTGGAGGTAGGGCTTGTTGATGCCCTAGTCCTTGTCGGTTAGGTGGATTACAGATTCCTTGAGGTTGTGGGCTTTGTTCTCTGACAAATCTTGGCTGTTCAACCCTCTGAATGTACTCATTCAACATTCCTTTCTGGGCTAGACTTTCTAGCTTGGACCTCAGGCTGTTGCATTGTTCTGTTGTATGACCGTGATCTTGATGAAAATCACAGTACCTTGTATGGTCTCTGGTAGCAGCAGCAGTTCTCATTGGACCCGGACGTCGTAAGTCCATTTTATTCTTAATTTGCATGAAGATTTGTGATCTCGACAAGTTTAAAGGGGTCCAAGTAACTGGAGGTTTACCTACAGACTGTTGTGAGGGTGTTGAGTTCAGCCTTTCAAATCTCAGTGTGGAGGTCGACATCGGACCTCGGTTCTGTGCTGTCCTCATTCGTTTCCTGCTTGGATTCTCATCTTTCCAGTCTGGGTTTTGGTTCTAAAAGAGAGTTGGCTTATGCGACAAGGCATACTCCTCAGTAGTTATGAATTTTAGAGATCTATCATTCACCTCGTTAAAGGTTGTAGCAGGATGTTTGATCAAACTATCTCTGAATCTCTCATGGTTAAGACCCAAGATTACAACTGCAATTCCCACAGCCTGGTCGAAGGAGCTAACTTCCAGTACTGCATTATTGAATCTGCTCATATAATTCTTCAGAGATTCTCCGTCCCTCTGTTTGACTCGCATCAGCTCAGAAGTAATTTTCCTGATCAACCTTCTACTGGAAAACTTTGTGGCAAAAGCAGATGTCATTTCTGTATAGGTTTAAGTACCATTTTGGTCCCTTAACTTGTCACTTTGGTACCAAAATTGTCCCTCA